GGGAGCTTAGACTATGGTACATATGTAGATACCTCTATGACTCTGACGCAGACAAAAAACCTAGAAAACATATACCTATCTACATAATTTGTAGCTGTGTGTACCCCCTGTTTGCCAATTGGAAGGGACTTTGGGTTTGAACGGGCACTACGATCAGCACAAACAGCAGAGGAACAGAACGGGTGTGCGGGGGGGGTTAACCCAGGAAACGTAGTCTAAACTCCCTAAAGGGGGNNGGGATTATATACGGGACTACTATAAGGGGGATACTAGGAGCTGCTTTACCTTTCCTCTGTCACGACGCATCTACGGCCGTCGGGCCCGCTGGTGGCCATGGTGAGGGTCTTTCCCTAGCTCTACCCCGCTGGTCCCTTTATGGTCCACTAAGACGACGAAGCTGACGCTGACATACGTTGACGTTTGGGGGAGATGCGAATACATCTCCAGCATCAACATGCGGACCTACAGGGATAAACGTAGCAAGGTTCTTTCTCACAGGGTAGATACTACAGGTTCTCAAGATTAGGGAGAATCTTGGCTAGGTCGCCATATTGACAAACACTAGCGTTCTCTATGATTGTGAGAGTACGGAGCTGTAGGAGATTACTATAGGGGCCTAGATAGTCACCAATATCATTTTGAGGTCTGTTTGAGGTGAGGGGTCTTTAGCAATCATACTGGCAATGATTTAGGCACCTGTCCCTAAAAGCCCTAAACCTTGGGTTTTAACTAGCTTCCAAAGAGAGATCGTTTAGAGGTGGGAGTCCACAGCCGTCCGCATGTTCCCAGTGCCTCGTGCTGGACATCCTGAACTCCCAACCCAAGCCGTGCCCCAAACTTCACATTAGGGTTAAGGGTTTAGGGGTTTAGGGTTTAGGGTTTAGGGGTTTAGGGGTTTAGGGGTTTAGGGTTTAGTGTCCTTGTACCTACTAAGTGGGTTTAGGGTTTAGGAAAGTTTGGGCCCAGGCTACGTACTATTTGGGTACGTATCCGGACTTCTGAGGCACGTGCTGGCCATGCATGCCTTTTACGACGTGCTTGGCGAACTCCCGGACCATGTCCTCAGGTTACGCAGAACCCTAAGAGTCCAAGGAACCAAATAATGGGGTTCTAGGCGTCCCAAATACCATTCAGATTTACGTAATTCTTTGGGCCCTAACACCCCGTTATTTGAGTCCCTGGAACATTAGGGTAAGTGAAATGCTCTAGAAGCCCCGTGAGTCATGCACTGGGTCACTGTTCCGTTGTTCCCGTACAAACTTTTGTGACCTACAACCTAAGAATCCTACTAGATGGCAAACGTGTAAACGCAATATATACAATATGTAGGGTATTGTAGGGTTTACGTAAATTTCAGTATCGTGGTAGGTGTGATACGGATGGGGGCCAGACATCAGGGTAATGGCAGTCTCTGATTAAAGCTGCGTAGATTTTTGATATGGATGATCCTTACAATTCTGGATAGTGATGCGAAGTCCCCTATGGGCCTATGGGCAACAAGGCCAGATGATTTTGTAGGTTTCACGGTTGTCTTCGAGTTCTGCCGGTTGATGGGAAACACTTTGCCCTTGAAGACTTAGTTTTACAAGGGGTGGATGCCTCTTTGCCTAGTGCGCAACAATTGTGTTAGGGAAGCAGGGTTAGTGAGGCTCCCTGGTATAGCTATAAAAGCAGTATACGCCAAATAACCTCACACCTCAAACAGGTGCTCAAGTTCAGCACCCGTGTGGAGGAGATTGGATTGACTGTTCTCTATGTGGGATTGTCAAGATCCCGACCCCGCGTTCGGTTTGTTGGTCTCCCCATTTCCAAAGGACTGCATTGTCTGCGCAGTAAGTAGGGAGTATGCTTATTTCAGAAACACCCATACTTCTTTACATTTCCCTGCATCCTTGTCAAGATCCCTGGGTAGGGACCCAAAAGTCCTTTGGAATGCCCATATTTCCCGAAGGTGAAGAGCGCGCGAGAAGCAAAATACTCGAAGGTTCAGGGCAACTAGAACCCAGTTATAGCTGTACGAACGTCCCAACTACAAGCCCCTATGTCCCTAGATGTGGACATAACTGGTTATGCGTACCAGTTTTTATTTGGGCTGTAACCCTGAGCGTCCAAGTACCTAATTATCATATACTTACCCAAAACCTGTACTACAATTACTGTTACCCAAAACCCAAGTACCTAATTATTGGGTACTGGGCCCCTAAATCCTAAACCCGATACCCTCATATACCCCTATATATCCCCTTTAAAGGGACCTAATTAAAGGGACCACATGGACCCTTAGGGTAATGACCCTGAACCTCCAAAAAGAAGGACCCTAACCCTAAAGCCTTAACCCTATAAACCCTGTAAACACTATAAACCCTTAAACCTGAACCTCCAAACAAAAAGGCTGAAAGCTGAGCCCAAGGCATGCATCCGCTCTCGCTCTGACTGCTGCTCCTGCTGAGGAGAAATGAGATCAGCCTAAACCCTAAACTCTAAACCCTAAAGCGGTTTAGGGTTTAGGGTTAGGGTCCAGAACTTGGGTTTGGGGTAATAGTAATTATAGTATAGGTTTTGGGTAAGTATATGAGTATTGGGTACTTAGACCCTCCGGGCTATATAACCCTTCTTCAAAGAGTTTAGACTATACCCTTAACCCTAAACCCTTAACCCTAAGATGGAAGCTGACCAGGTCCCAGGTAGACTCGAGGCTGCCTGAAAGGGAATTACAAACGGGCTTCCATGGGTTTCGGGTTTAGGGCCTCCATGCCAGTTTGAGAGAGGGTATGCCCCTCCTCAAAGTAATGTGGAACTCTACAAAACCCTGGGTTTAGGGTTTAGGGCTTTGGGAAATCACAACAGTATTCGTCCTGATCAGTTCTGCTTTGGTGGAGACAAGCATGGCAGTTGTAGAACAGAGTTTTCTGCACGTTGCATAGCTTATCACTTATCACTATCGTGGTACTGGCAGGCCTATGTAAAGTCATCTATACGTATCTTGGACATGTTACCTAGCATTTTCTGCAAACAGCCTCCCATATCTCAATTGTACTTATACTCCACATATACGACTGTCAGACGACTGTTAAGGCCTTTCCTGACAAATCAGGTACCTGCAAGAATACAGAACCCTAAGGGTCCAAGTACTTAATAATCATATACTTACCCAAAACCTGTACTATAATTATTATTACCCACAACCCAAGTACCAAATTATTGAATACACGGACCCTTAGGAGAATTTTCAAAAAAATGCAGTCACGAGATGATGTTCCGAATTCATCACCACCGCTAATAGTAAAACAATACCCTCCAGCAATACCATGCCCATATACACTGAGGTAATCTTTGTTTCCGGGGGGTGACGAGGTTGTACTTGAGGCTGTAGTTCCATCGCTTGAGTTGTTTACCTGCCTGCGCGGATTCGGAAGTAGGCACGGCCTTCACGGCAACTTTCTTCCTTCATGTTCTGAAGATTCCTCACAGTGAAAGACATTTGAGGTTTTCCAAAACCAAGGGTAGTCCCCTTGCAGAGCCCCGAAATATCATCCTCATACAAGAAACTCACAAGGAACTCCTAAACCCTTACCCCTAAACCCTACGTTAAAAGAAAGGAGGTAGCCCGAAAAAGGCCTCTGGGCTCAAGGGCCGTCGGTTACTCGACCTCGGCAGCAGAGCTTTCTGTCAGCTGAAGGTTCTATAAGGTTATATAGCGATTATATGAGGTAACCTAGCGCTATAAAGGGGTCATATAGGGGTGACAGGGGTTATGTAGGGGCCCTCATTTCAACTTAAGGGTCCAAGAACGCAAATGGGAATTCCCTAAACCCTAAACCCTAAACCTAAACCTTATCTTCTACATTCAGGTGCTTCCCCCTTGGGGTCTGAAAAGCTTCAGCAGGGTGCGAGTTCAAGAGGAGATGCCCTAAGGGTCCGTGTATTCAATAATTTGGTACTTGGGTTTTGGGTAATAATAGTTATAGTGCAGGTTTTGGGTAAGTATATGATTATTAAGTACTTGGACCATTAGGGATGGGTGTGCTTATGGGATCCGAGAAAGCATATGGGAATTTCCCTAAATTGGGGTACCCCAATATAGATCCCCAGTACCCCGAATTCGGTGAAACCTCCAGTTGTTCAAGACTTGTCCGGCAAATGGCCATAGGAATGTTTTGCGTTTTGGTTAGGATCTCTCTTTGAGGACGTGTGTTGCCAATGATCCCTCCTTCGATCCTTTGGTACAACCCCACATGGACTTAGGGTGCTCAAGCTCTGAAGGCCTCTAACTAGTGCCCGGACTCTTAAAATGGAAACTACTGTAGTATATTGGGGTTATATGGGGATAATGGAAAATAAAATGGAAACTACTATAGTATATGCACATTTGAAGAGTGCACATAAGAACGCACCCTGAGCCCCAGCGAGGGCAACTATAGACCGTTGAGTCGATCTTACCCGAAATCGCATGTGGGAGATGCCATTCCCAATGGCCCAAACCCGAAGGTGTACTTTCGAACGGGACTTCTACGTGATAAGCCAACTCATTAAGGCGAAAATTCTGGAATTGTGTCATCTGCTGCCTCATGAGCTACGTTCATAGACCTGCTGGATACCCCTAAGGGTCCAAGGACCCAAATAATAGGGTTTTAGGGTCCAAATACTATAACATTAATGGTATTTGGGACCTAAAGCCCTACTATTTGGGTCCTTGGACCCTAAACCCTAAACCCTATACATCCCCCTATAACCCCTTTTAAAGGGGCCCTACTATTTGGGTCCTTGGACCCTTAGGGTACCATTCCGAGGTCGCCTTCTCTGTTTGAGTGTTGCGTAGGGAAACGAAACACTCAACTGACTACAAACCCTCAAGACCCGGAAGCCCGAATACAAGCAAGAGCACTCAAGCCCAACAATAGCCACGATTCAAATCCGAATCTCGAAGCCGATGTTCATTGCTATGAACCTCATAAACCTCAAGCTGGATACCCCGTAAAATCATAAGCCGTACTTTATAAAACTCTAAAAGCTGTTCGTCTCTTAGACTCCATACCGTTGACAATAAGAAGGTTACCCCCAACCGCTAAGTTTAGGGCCCTATAATTACCACATGACTACTTTAGGGTCGCTAGTGTAGGGGTAGGGGAACCAAATAGCCCCCCTATCATTAAACCTATATAAACCCAGCAACCATGCATTTTACCCGGATAGGGATCCTTACATATAGTAGTTTCGCAAAATAGGGGGACCACCAATGTAGACACGAAAATACTGTAATCCAAATTATGGGGACCCCCACAAAGGTGCCATTAACTTTGTGCAACCCTAAGCCTGAGGGTCCAAAGGACCCAAATAATTAGGTTTCAGGGCCCAAATACTGTAATATTAATGGTATTTGCCCATAAAACCTCTTATTGGGGTCCTATAATACCCCTACATAATCCCCTAATATCCCTATATATCCCCCTATAACCCGTTTAAAGGGACCCTAATTATTTGGGTCCTTGGACCCTTAGGAGAATGTATACATCGGTCCACACGGTGAGACCGGCACTCTGACCCCCAGCCAGATCGGGAGGTAGTCATGGTCTCGGCTGTGAGACTTTCCCAGGGGGATCCAAAAACAGGACCCCTACTACATTGGGGAAACTATGGGGAAACTAGGGGATTATTAGGGGGTTCCATTTTTTGGGATGCTTTAGGGGTTCTGGGAAACTTTGAGGAGCACAGGCAAGTGAGATATAGTGGAGGATTGAGGCATAAAGTATTAGGGTTTAGGGTTGTAGTGGAGAGTTTACACACCGATTTGGGGTTGGTCCCTTAGATTGTACCCTGGGGTTCGGGGACACCCTAAATGCCCTCCATGGTAAACAATAATACCCATACAGGGGGTGCATATGGGTTGTACAAGGATATCAATTTAGGGTCCAACTGTTGTGGGTTAATTGGGTTAGGGTTGATGTTTGTTTTCTAGGGTTGTTGATGCTTTGGGTTGGGGTCTAGGTTTTCAGGTTGTGCATTCAATCCGTACACTCCTTACATGCACTAAAAGCCTTGAAGGACTGATACTTAGTTTCCATTTCCATTGGCAGGGGAAGCCAATGTAGACCCCAATATAGACCGTTGTATAGGGAATCGCCACCCCCCCCCCCCTTCCCCCCTCCAAAAAAAGTACACCTAGTTGCAACACCCCACATACCGTTCTCTCCACACAACATGAACTCACGAGGTTCTAGTCAACAACGCTAAGCCATCAACCCTCACACACGCCTCCAAGCCGCAAAGTGACCTCCAAAACCTCAATACCACGCAGCGAAGAGCTTGCAGTTCAGGGTTAAAGTCTTAAGTTTGTAGTTGAGGGCCTGGCAACTCATCAGAAACCCGAGCCCGTAACTCCTATACTCAAATCCAGGAGGTCTCAACTCGGGCGCTCAGCTCTGCGTGGCCCAGGGGCCGGTCTACTTACCTTTGGTTAGCTGGGAATGAAGGAATGGAAAAGAACATGGAAACTACTATAATGGGTTTAGGGTTTAGGTCTTTTAGGTTTTAGATGGAGGAATGGACAAGAAAATGGATGCCACTCTAAAAAAGGGTTATATAGGGACGACTATAAGGATCCGTTCCTTCATTCCTAGCTAACCAAAGGTAAGTCTATGCAGGAGTACCCATCCTGGATGGCATAGGTTGAGAGAAGCAGCAACAAGGACTGTGCTAGACATCCGGACTCTGACCTACGTGAGCCCCTATAATACCCCTGTTTCACTCCTAACCCTAAAACCCTTCAGGTTCCAGATGTGCTTGAGCCCTAACCACTGGAACAGCCTGACCCAGCGGTTTTAGTTTTGGGGTTTAGGGTTTCCTCGAACAATCTAGACCCTGAAAAAAAACCCAAATATACCAACATATTAGGTACAAATAACCATTTGTGAGCTACATTGGTTACTCTGGGTAGGGTTTAGGCGAGTTTAGGGTTCAAACCCTCAAGCCCTTAACCCTAAACCCACCAAACCCCAAACCCAAAACCTAAACCCTAAACCCACAAACCCCCAAACCCCAAAACCCTAAACCCACAAGACCCGAAAGCCGACAGTGCAGGTGCCCCCGCCGACCGGGAAGTCAGGCCTTCCAGGCGTCACTGAGGGCTTATAGTCCCCCCTTAGGTAAATAGAATATAGCCCTAAGGGTCCGTGTACTCAATAATTTGGTACTTGGGTTTTGCGTAATAATAATAATTATAGTACAGGTTTTGGGTAAGTATATGATTATTAAGTACTTGGACCCTGAGGGTAGGGTTTAGGGTTTAGGGTCTAGGGATTATAGTCCCCCTTAAGTAGACAGAATATATAGGG